TAATTTCATACGTATCTATCCCAGTAATTCAAAAACCGAGGCTGTTGAAACAGGGCAACATCTTAACGTCACAGCTAGAACACTTGACAGTAAAATGAGTATAACTTGAGCTAACAATATCCGTTTAATGTAAAACCAGTTTCTAAATTTCGACAACTTAAAGGGCTACAACTTTCATGAAGATACCAATTCCTAATTCTGTTCACACAAGTCCCAAAAATTCAATGAATAGTACCTACGAATTAGGGCTCTTAAAGTTTTTAGCTTAACAACTTCTAATCCTCAATTTTAAGCATCATTCTAGTATTCTAGGTGTAAAACCTACAATAACTTTCTTCCTACATCCATTCAAGTTGAGCCAAGTGAGGAGAAAAATAGAAAATGCACCGTTTTGAAAAATAAAACGGTAGAAATGTAGCGGAGATTGAGATAAACCAACTTACCTCTTGGAGCTTCTCAAGAAAATCAAGATTTTCCCGTTAAAATCAAGTTTGAAGGTAAGGAAATTTTGAGAGAAAGAGAGAAACAATGAACCTACGAAAAATTTGCATAATGGTACTCTTTCATTTAAAAGTCAAATTTCTGAGTCCTATTTCACCTAATTTTCCGCTCAGCGGATTTATCGTGCGCTCAGCGGATATGAGGCCGCAAGTAATAAGATTTCAACTCACAATCCGCTCAGCGGATTTATCGTGCGCCCAGCGGATATGTGGCCGCAAGTAAGATAGAGATTTCGAACCACAATCCGCTCAGCGGATTTCTGATGCGCCCAGCGGATCCCAAAACTCTCTGTTCTAATCGATTAAAAAACCTGTTGATCGATTAACAGACATAATCCGCTCAGCGGATTATATTACAAAAAAAATATCTTCATTTTCTCCTTTTTACTCTAGCCAGGATTTGAACCCACAACCCCTAAGACTCCAACATCACTCCAAACCATATTAACCATCATATGTTTCTTGTCAATTTATACACATAATAAACTTTTAATGTACCCACACTCAATGCATAAAAGAAAACAATAATTTCTAAATGTGACAATTAAAATTGTTAATTCCATACTCTTTCAATTCCGACCCTAAATCATAGAATTACTAGCAGGCGTCCAGTTGCCCGCGAAACGGATCAATTTTAAGTATTTTCTAAAAATTCCAGAAAAATTCTACAAAAACACAAATAATCTAACAAACATAAAACTCTACAGTTTCTTTACCCAATTCCTAATAATTTAATTATTAAAATTTTGACAAAGATTTTGTCAAAATTTAACAAACTAGGGTTATTGAGAATCAGGATGTTACACATGTAACATACCACTCAATACTAGAGTCTTTCCACATGTGAGCTTTAGAAAAACTTTTCCTTTTCCTAAGACAGGATTTGTCCTGGAATCACCGAGATAAACATATTCTTCTTTATCCCCACACTAGTATAAAAGGTAAAAGCATATAAAAGGTAAAAGCATTTCTGTTTGCACAGATGTGCCTTGTAGCATCAGAGTCTACCACTCATTTGCTCACATTTGTCACAATTATATAAACGACCGCAATAATTATATATTCTCCTTCGATTAAATTTGCCTTATGAGGATTATCGTTTCTCATTCTACGTCTGCACTGAGGTGCATGATGATCTAGATAAAGCAATTTCCCTTCTTCTTGAAGGTGGGGTTAAATCCATTTGGACGAGAAATTTTAAAATTATTTTTCTTTTCATAATCAGGTTTTTTTCTGGTACCTTTTTGGAGTTGGTTTGTCTTCTACCATATTTACCTTAGCTGATAATGTCTTAGCCCTTGCAGCAGTACACTTCTTCTGATTGGTATCTTCGACGAAAATATGCGTGATAAGATCTGTTAGTGACATTTCTTTATGTCTATGCTTCAGTTGTTAGTTGTTGTTTGTAGTCTATCTAGGATTCTGGAAGTTTTTCGATTAGAAGTTTTGAAACGAACTCATCAGGTAGGACTATGTTTTCGGCTTTAATATCTTTAAATTTATGGTACTTGTTGATCTGGATCTTCATGTCCTTGTCTTCTAGCATCTCCTAGCAGTAGTAGTTTTCAATAACGAACTTTGGTCTCACGACATCTTCGGCAGTATATTTAAGAATCAATGAATTCCAAATATCTTTGACTTTCTTATAGGAACAATACACATCAAACAAAGCATTAGACAATGTACTAAGCAAAGTGTGTCAACATACCTTGTTCGAATAAACCCAATCTTCAATTTGTTTAGCAGGAGTACTGGAGTCAGGTTTGATAGTTGTAAGAGCATAAACCACTCCATACATGTCTAAGAGAGTAGAAGTGTGTTTCTGCTAGCGTCGAAAGTTTTGCCTAGTGGAAAACGTATGGAAACAATTTTGCAAAGACAATTTGAGTTCCAAAAATGTTATTTGTTTTTTCTTGTGTGAAGTTGTTGGTATCCATACTGTCAGCCATAATTCCTTAAGTCCTTAAGATTGTTGTAAAAGCTGACTGAGACATGAACAAACTTTATTCCTGAGGCGTGTATAATCACTGCACTTAAGGATTTATCCGCGATGTATTGTGCAAGTCTCCCAGGATAAAATAGGAACTTCTCAGAATTTTCGAGGATCTTAGAAACTAGCAAGAAACTCTTAAAAGAGTAAATAAGCCCAGGAAAATAATAGAATAGGAAGAAAAATAGAGAAGAGAAGATGAGAGATGTGTGTTTTGGAAGAGTGTGAAGTGGTCTCTATTTATAGGTGTAGATTGGGCCCAAAATCCTAACTACTTACGTCCAAAAAAATCCACCAACAACCACCTCATCCCAATACTAGGAAGTACCATGAAATAAGGAGCAAAATTTGCAGCAGTTAGAAGAAGACTTGGCAGTAGGTTTGCAACTCTGTAACATTTTCTGCAACGTGTGAGGGTGAGTTCCTTTTTACTGTAATACAGTTTCATAACAAATATTTCTCTAAAGTCTTTTTATACAACTAGTAATAAACTTAATCTTCAAGAGCACATCTAATCTTTTAATTGAATATAGTAACAATAATATTATTTTTGTACTCGATGCCAAACAATGATTTGAACAATGCATTTTAATATATAATACCGTATCACATTGCTAATCGAATAATGACAAAGACATACATATCATGATTATTGAATATTAATTCTAATAAGAACACAATTGTAATTCAATTATATAGTTTTCTTTTCTTTTTCATTCATTATATAAAACTATTTTACAATATCTTTATATTATTGATTCTCACATGATAACATACATGAATCATAATAAGAAGATTAACCTTGATCCATAAGAATATGTTGTCTAATATCTTTTTCTCAGTCTATCTTTTTAATCTTTTTGTTCTCTAACCTCATTTTCTCAATCTATCTCTTTGTCTTTCTTTCTTTTCTCACATTATGGTTTAATGTGAAAAAACCTGATGGTCAGAGACTGAACCCTAATCCCTAATCCCCTTTTATTAACCAACGTCCATTAAGTTGGTTACCATAAGTTTTTATTTTATTTTATTCTGACTTTAAATAATAATCATTAGGTCCTTCTATTTTATTAAATCACATTTGGATTCATCATTATATTTCACATGAATCACATAATAGAATTAATTAATTAAAGTAATTCTAACATTCTCCCACTTAACTCATGTCACATCATACCATTATGTGATTTAATACTGAAGATATAATGCACATAAAAGGACCTTACATAAATTGGTTTTATCATTATTCATAATTAAAGATACAACTATAATAAGAGTCATGACGGTTACATATAATTCAATCGACATGCTCCTTTCCATATACTACTATATTATCTCTTTGTCTTTAATATGACTTTATAATGAGAAGTCTATAATGAGTTCAAACATAATATCATTTCAATAATAATAACATAATTTGTTTTCTTCATCATAATTTGCATGCATATAAATAAAGAAGAAAAAATAAATTTTAAAAACTTATACATTAAAGATTTCAGAGTCTCACATTATTCACTAGTGAACATAATGTCCATATTCACTATATTGCTAGCAAACAACTTGAGCGGTAATCCCGTTGTTAAAGGATCAACAATCATAAGATCATTGCTATTAACTTCTTCTTTAACGACAAAATATTTCAATTTCATATGTTTAACACCTTTAGAATATTTGTCATTCTTATAAAAGAAGATTGTTGTGGAATTATCATAATAAATTTTCAATGGTTTGACAATGTTGTCGACTACTCCAAGTCCTAAAATAAAAATTTGCAACTAATTAGCTTGAACTGTGACCTCAAAACATGTTACAAATTCAGTTTCCATGGTGGATGTAACAATGACATACTGCTTCTCACTTTTTCATGAACCCGTTCCTCTGGCTAAAAGATACACATAACAAAATGTAGAACTTTCGTATATACATACAATTAACAAAATCTGAATATGTATATCCAATCACCTCAAAATGATCAACTTTTCTATAAGTAAGTACATGATTATTTTTTTCTTATAAGTATCTTAAGACTTTATTTGCAGTTTTCTAATGATTCTAGTATAGGATTACTCGATATCTACCCAACATTAATAATTTAAAATCAAATAACCTTAAAATTTAATATCATTAATAACCTTAAAATCATTAATAATCTTAAAATTTAAAATTATATTATATATAATTAAAATAAAATCATTAATAATTTAAAATCAAATAACCTTAAGATTTTTAACACACAAAATTTATTATATTTAATTTTAAATAAATAACATCTTTAATTATTATTAACCATTTATAACTATTTTTCATTAATTTTTAATTTAGTAATAACAAAACATACATATTATTATTGCAAATTAAAAATTCATTCTTCATATACTAAAATAAAAAATTATTAATTTCCATAAAATTAATACTTTCACCAACGAAACACAGCAGAACCCAACGCCCTTAACTCCATACCCCTTTTCTTTTCCTTCCTTCTTCGTTTCTCCAAATCTAATCCAAGCAAAATGCGCCTCGGATTCTTAGCGTTGGTGTGTCTGTCTTGTTGTTGGCTTGTCTCGGGCGAGGGTGAAATAGTGGCTTGTTCCGACACAGTGCCGTTGGGTACCGCAACGACAAAATTTCCATTACTTAATTTGCCGGCGTGGGTGATAGGCGTGTAAATCAATTTTGAGAAAAATCATAATTTGGGAAAACTTAGGATTGATGCTGATGTGATAAAGAATCATGTTTTTTAATCTCTTTCTTTACTAACCTCTTTTGTTATGTACGCTCTTTGAATCTTATATTTTTCAAATAATTTTGTATTGACCAACTTTATCCAACATTAGTAAACTATTATAGTTATTAAAAAAATGAAAAAGAGAATTGGAGGACATTTAACATGGGCCTAACGAGAAAAGCCCAATATCATCCGTGGTATAACGATGGGCCCAATTGGGAAAACTAGAAGAAATGGCTTTATTGTTCAGTTTTGAGCGCCATCTTCACTGTCGACGTTATCCCCATTCTCTCCACTCATCTTCCTTCCTTCACAGTTCATTCCACTCTCCCAATCCAAATGCTCCACACTCATCACCTTCATCCTAACCTTCTCTTCCTTTCTCCACACTCCCATTCGTCACCGTTTCCTTTCCCATCCAGAACCACCACCTTTCACTCTCCAAGATTCCCCGTTACTTCCATCACAAGAGGTTCTTCTTCTCTCAGGTTCCGGAACCGTCGCCGCAGTAGCAGCATCACAAAATCCACCGCGAATGGCGGAACGGAGCATCAGAAGCAACTGATCAACAGGGCCTATCCTTTCCACGAAATCGAGCCCAAGTGGCAGCATTTTTGGGAGCACAATCGCACTTTCCGAACCCCCGATGACGATATCGACACTACGAAACCTAAATACTACGTTCTCGACATGTTCCCTTACCCTAGGTTTTCAATTATAGTTACTTTGCGCTTGCAGCTTCTGATTATTTTGAATTGTGGGAATATCCGTAATTTCTATTCTTTTCACAGTGGAGCTGGACTTCATGTTGGTCATCCTCTTGGATATACTGCCACAGACATTCTTGCTAGATACAAACGGATGCAGGGGTACAATGTTCTGCATCCGATGGGGTGGGACGCTTTTGGATTGCCAGCAGAACAATATGCGATTGAGGTCTGTTTCTTGGTTCTCACTTCTACATTCTGACTTTCTGATACTTTGGAGTTTCTCTTACTAATGTGCTGCCATGTGCTTCAGACAGGAACTCACCCCAAGCTCACTACGGTGAGGAATATCAGCCGCTTTCGCACTCAGGTAAACTGTTGATGATATGCTTTAACTGTGACTAATGGAAATAATGCTTTTTTTAGATTATTAAATGATTTGAGATAATTTAATTACGCTTTACATTGCCATCCAATTATGTATTGCCGTGCATGATAAGATTGTTAATCTTTGTAACAACTTTTTAAAAAACATACCTATGATGACTTAGAATGGGTCGGTGGTGGAAGTTTTAACTGACAGGATAAAGTTTAAACTCTATTTGGGAATTTTGTTGGTACATTATTTACTGCTGGTTTTGAGCCGGTAAATGTTCTTTTGGACTTATGCGACCACTTTTGGTTCGTTTGAAGATCTGCTTTTTAGACTGATTATGTTAAGTGGCAAGAGTGAATAATTCGCTGAATAGTTATATTGAAAAATATCTGAATATTTGTGGCATTAGTTTGCTGGATAAACTTCAATTTCAAAACAACCTGAACCCTAATGTTTGGAATCATGATCGGATCAATATATAACTCATTTGATTGACAATTTAAATTGCTGCGAAGTGATTTGAATGGCCTCCACTTGATTTAAGAAGAAAAGCTTCCTGTAATTTGAAATGAGAAAATATTGTTTTCATGATTTCATTCTCATAGTCATCAGCCCTAGTCCTTAAATTGCATGTTTTCCCTTCATGTTAGGTCTTCCTACATCTTTGCAGTTAAAATCATTAGGATTTTCATATGACTGGGATCGTGAAATCTCTACCATAGAACCTGACTATTACAAATGGACTCAATGGATCTTTCTACAACTTTTAAAGAGAGGATTGGCATATCAGGTTTACTGTAGGATAACTACTTCAATGTTTTTTCTTACCTCATTTTCTGAGTATTGGATATCTTATGGTAATTCCTACAAAAAAATCAGGCTGAAGTTCCCGTTAATTGGTGCCCTGCACTTGGCACCGTGTTGGCCAATGAGGAGGTGATTGATGGTGTCAGTGAGCGGGGTGGTCATCCTGTAATAAGAAAGGTATACTGGTTTGCATATTTGTTTCTTTCAGAATTGAAATTCGAGTGGTTTTCCTCTTATATTTTTTGAACGGTTTCATAATCTTTACAGTGTCATTGTTTATTACCAAGCAGCCAATGAGGCAATGGATGCTCAAGATTACTGCATATGCTGACCGCCTTCTAGAGGATTTAGATGACCTTGACTGGCCTGAAAGTGTAAAAGAAATGCAGAGAAATTGGATTGGGAGGTCAGAAGGGGCTGAGATGGAATTTTGCATTCTTGATAGTGATGGAAAGGAGAGAGACATAAAAATTACTGTGTATACTACAAGGCCTGATACGATTTTCGGTGCAACGTATTCATCTATTTAATGTTCTAGTATATTCAATAAATTTAATGTTCTAGTATATTCAATAAATTTTATGAATCAGACGAACTATTCTTGAATGAAACTTATCTTTTTCCTGTTTGTATTCAGCTACTTAGTTGTGGCACCAGAGCATTCCTTGCTGTCGTCATTGGTTTCCATTGCCCAGAGCAAACATGTAAGTTATGTTCTACTGCCTACTTGGTTGGTAGGATTTTAATCAAGCGCGATAAGATGGTTGTTCTTAGGGTTTTTTTTTTAATCACAGGTTGAGGATTATGTAGACCTTGCCTCAAAAAAGAGTGAACTTGAGAGGACTGAACTTCAGAAAGAAAAGACTGGGGTCTTCACTGGGTGTTATGCAAAAAACCCAGCGAATGGGGAAGCTATTTCGATATGGGTGGCGGACTATGTTTTGGGGAGGTGGGTGTTTTTAGTGGTTGTTGAATATGCCATGGGCATAAGATCTAGGGTGTAGGATGATCAATGGTTTTTTAAAAGGTTTGAGATCAGAATATAATTGTTGCCATTGGTGCAGTTATGGAACAGGGTCTATCATGGCTGTGCCTGCACATGATTCTCGTGATTATGATTTTGCTTCGAGATATGATGTTCCAATTCGCTGGGTTGTTGAGCCAGATGGTAAAAGCGTTGAGTCTGCAAAGGCTTTTTCAGGTGAAGGCATTATTGTAAATTCATCGAATACACTGGTTGGGCTTGAGATTAACGGCTTGTCCAGCAAAAAAGCTGCTTTGAAAGTCATTGAATGGGCTGAAAAAACTGGGAATGGAAAGAGAAAGGTTAATGTCTTAAATGAATCAAATTAGAGTAATCTTTTTTATTTTACTATAATTTCATTCTTTTGGTTTGGATTATATAAAATAAAATACATTTTTCATTGTTCAGGTGAACTTCAAGTTAAGGGACTGGCTTTTTGCTAGGCAGCGTTACTGGGGTGAACCTATCCCTGTCATCTTCATGGATGATAGTGGTGAGACTGTTCCATTGTGTGAGACTGAACTGCCGCTTATTCTTCCTGAATTGGATGATTTTTCTCCCACTGGAACAGGCGAGCCCCCTCTGTCTAAGGCAGTGTCTTGGGTAAGTTTACACCAATAATTCCTTTTTCTTTTTTCTTCTCAAATTGATATCAATAACAGGCATGGCTTGATTTGACTGGCCCTGTGGACTGTGGTCTAGGTTAGATTTATTTCATTATTTAGCCCCAATGATGTGCAGATACTTCAAATTGATGGCATACAGGCATTGTACACTTGCCAGATTCCTACACAATATAAAGAACCAACAACAACAACAATTTTGAAAGAAAGAGATAATTTTGAAATAATGCATGCTTGGATCATTCCTAATTTCCCAAATATCCCTGATAGGTTCCGAACAATCCTTAAGAGAACTGAATATTATTTCTGTATTGAATCAAGGCAGAACTCTGTCAATGCGACAAGAGTGAACCAACAGTATTGTACACACAAGATCTCCTGAAAAGCTAGCCTGAGATAACTCTCAGTCCTTCCTCTATCCTTCCTTTACAACAACAGACTTCCAAACCCCTCCTAACCCCCAAACAACTTATATAAGCATTGCCTAGCTCAAGTGCCGTGCTCTCCTGCTGAGCTCTCATTTTTTTTTTCTTCTCTTATACACAATACCGAATCTATCATTACTCCCCCCTAAAGTTTCACCTTGTTCTCAAGGTGAAATGCAGGAAACTCTTTTGCAACAGTCTCAACCAACTCCCAGCTATTTTCAATAGATGGCACGTTCAGCCACTGAAAGAGAACTTTCAGGTCTCCCTGAGTTGTGGTCCTAATTCCCAAAACTTTATCTGGAACGACTTGCAGCATATGGTCTTCGTTCAATACTGTGGGCAATGACTGGGAAACAGCAGGTGGATAAATAGCCTTCTTCAACAGAGAGACGTGGAAGACTGGATGAATTCAAGTGTGAGGAGGTAACTCCAACCTGTATGCAACCTGACCAATTTTTTCCAGCACTTGATAAGGCCATAGAAGCGAGGTCCCAACTTCTCATTGGGTCTTTTAGCCAAGGACTTAAGCCTAGAAGGTTGCAGCTTAAGGTAGACCCAATCGGACTTGATAAACCAGTTCTATGCGATGTTTGTTGGCCTGGACACGATTCTGATCCTCGACTTTGTGTAAATTCATTTTCAATTCTTGAAGAATGTCATCCATCTCTTATTGCAACTGATTAACACTTTCCAGCTTAGATGGAATCCTAGCTCCTTTAAGAAGTAGAGGAGGGTCTCTACCATAGAGAGCTCTAAATGGCGTCATTTTGGCTGACGCATTGTAATTGGTATTAAACCAAAATTCAGCCCACGAAAGCCATTGAGGCCATCTTCTTGGTTGGGCACCCGTCATGCATTGCAGATTTGTTTCCAAGCAACGGTTGACGACTTCTGTTTGACCATCTGTCTGAGGATGGTATGTAGTGCTAAACTTCTATTTGGTGCCGGCTTGAAAAAATAATTCTCTCCAAAACGTGCTTAAGAACAGCTGGTCACGATCAAACACAATGGTGGAAGGAAACCCATGCAGTTTGACAACCTCCTTAAGAAATAATCGAGCCACCTCAGTTGCTGTAAAGGGGTGTGATCAAGGATAAATATGCGCATACTTTGTCAATCTATCCACCACAATGAATATCATGTCTTTCCCTTGAGCCTTAGGTAACCCTCCATTGAAGTCCATGGAAATATCCGACTAAACTTGAGTCAGTATTGGTAGTGGCTGTAGTAAGCCTGCTGGGGCCAAAGTTTTAGTCTTATTGCGTTGGCAGATTGCACATTGCATGACAAAATTCTTAATGTCCCGCCGCATTCCTTCCCAATAAACCACCCCTGCGACTCTTTTAAAAGTCCTGAAATAACCATTATGGCTACCCAATGGAGATTCATGCAAATCCTTTAGAAGAAGAGGAATGCATGAAGATGATTTGCATAAGACCAATTTATCTTGATAAAATAATCTGCCTTTCTTCCATTCATATCCTGGATGGGCTGTCGGATCCGCCACTAAATCCTGAATTAAAGAATTGAGTTTGGTATCTTGCTGGATTTCGCTTTGCCAAGTGTCCCATTCTGCATTTTGGAAAGTAGATAAAGCCAAAAAATACACCTTTCTAGATAACGCATCGGCCACTGTATTTTCTCTGCCTGGCCGAAATTGGATTTCAAAATCAAACCCAATTAGTTTGGAAGCCCACTTAAATTGCTCTTCTGTCAATAGTCTTTGGTCATTAAGAAACCTAAGACTTTTCTGATCTGTTACTACCAAAAAATGACTCCCCATTAAATAATGCTTCCATTTATGAATGGCCTGGACCACTGCCATCAATTCCCGTTCATAGACTAACTTCTTTTGCTCGCTATCCGACAAGGCTTGGCTTCAAAAGGCCAATGGTTTACCCTCCTGCAGTAAGACTGCTTCCAACCCTTTACTGGAAGCATCGGTTTCCACCGTAAATGGTTTAGAAAAGTCTGGAACAGCCAAAATGGGAAGTTGAGTTACAACACTCTTCAATTCCTCAAACGATTTTTGAGCCTCCTCACTCCAGTGGAACCCATCCTTCGTTAATTGTTGAGTCAATGGCTTGACAATCTTCCCATGGCCTTTCAGAAACCTTCTATAATACTTGGTCAAACCCAAAAACCCTCTCAAAGCTGTGACATCCTTAGGGACAGGCCAAGTCTGCATAGCTTCTATTTTCTTGGGGTTGGCTGTCACTCCTTTGCTGGAAATAATGTGCCCCAAATATTCCAGGCTCAACTGACCAAAACTACACTTCTTCCTATTTAACTTCAAGTGATGGCTCTTGAGTATCAATAAGACCTGTTGTAAATGTTGTCCATGAGTAGCCAAATCCGGGCTATATACCAATATATCGTCGAAGAACACCAACACAAACTTCCGCATAAACGGTTTAAGGATATCATTCATCAAGGATTGGAAAGTGGAGGGAGCATGAGTCAACCCAAAATGCATGACTAAGAACTCGTAGTGGCCTTCATGAGTTCGGAAGACAGTTTTCTCAACATCACAATCCCTCATTCTGATTTGGTGATAACCTGATTTTAAATCCAACTTAGAAAAGATGGTTGCCCCTACAAGTTCATCCAATAATTCCTCAATCACTAGTATGGAAAATTTATTGGGAATGGTAATCTTATTTAGAGCCCTATAGTCCACACAAAAGTGCCACCCTCCATCTTTCTTTCTTACTAAAATAATCGGGCTTGAATAAGGGCTTATACTCGGCCTTATAATCACAGCTTGCAATATTTCTCTCACCAGCCTCTCAATCTCATTTTTCTGCTGATGGGAGTATTTATACGGCTGTAGGTTTGGTATTGAAGTCCCTTGTTGGAGGTGTATGGCATGATCATGAGAGCGACTAGGGGGTAGACCTGCTGGATCTTGAAAAACTTCCTCATTCCCAACTAGCAGTTGCAGTATTTCTATAGGGATTTCTGTGGTGATAGCCTCCGTATCTTCTGTCCATTTGACAAGGTAACATGATCCGTCATTCTCTCATTCGTGTAGTTGCCTTTGAACGAAGTTTGAGACTTAGACAAGGTAGGATCTCCTGTTAAGACAATCTCAGGATCACCCTTGCCAATAATTAATTTCAATTGGCCAAAATCAACCTTCACCTCTCCTAAACTGGCCAGCCATTCCAACCCTAGCACCAAATCTACCCCACTTAAGTCAAAAACATAGAACTACTGTTGGATACAACACCCTTGCAAATTCAAGAAAATACCCACCAAGTATTATTGCTCAATCCCTTTAAAGAAACCCGCATATTGCTCAAACTGCTCTATGTATTCATCCACTGAAGCGTTTTGCATTAACCCAACCAATATTTTGAATGAGTTATTCAACATATTGGGTTGAAACCGTCGAACCACTGCCACCTTAAAGTCTTCCCAATAAGAATGCGTATTACATGTCTCCCACCATTGGAACCAATTCAGCACCTTCCCTTCCAAAGCCACCATTACCGCCTGCATCTTTTCCTCTTTCGAAACTGCTTTTAATTTGAAATAACGATTCAATCTATTCGTCCAACCATAAGTGTCATCTCCCACAAAAACTAGAATATCCAGTTTTCTCCATTTTGAATGAGCTGAATCAAGATCCGAATGTAGCTGCCATGATCTGTCCCCGCGATTAACCCCACTGGAAGGGCTGTCACCAAACTTTTCCCCAGATGCAATCTTCTCCACAATGCCCGATAATCCCCCTAATAAGTTTTCTATGCGTTGAAAGCGGTCATGGTACTCATTATCCCGCTTATCCCGATCTTGGACCATTTCTTGAATCATCTTTTCAAGCCCATCCAGTTTAGCCTCCATCCTCGTATTAACCATGCCCTGAAGTTACCCCTTCATAGTACCAAGATTGTGACTACTGATACCAATTGATAGGTTCCGAACAATCCTTAAGAGAACTGAATATTATTTCTGTATTGAATCAAGGTAGAACTTTGTCAATGCGACAAGAGTGAACCAACAGTATTGTACACACAAGATCTCCTGAAAAGCTAGCCTGAGATAACTCTTAGTCCTTCCTCTATCCTTCCTTTACGATAGACTTCCTAACCCCTCCTAACCCCCAAACAACTTATATAAGCATTGCCTAGCTCAAGTGGCGAGCTCTCCTGCCGAGCTCTCATTTTATTTTTATTTTTTCTTCTCTTATACACAATACCGTATCTATCAATCCCCTTTGTTATTATACCTTGAGTCCCTAAGTTTTAACACTCTTTCATAATACACCTTTTAACACACAAGAGGTTTAGCCAATCTGTGCACAAAATGCAATTGCAGCAAAAAAACATATTGTGCGAGCTAAAATATTCTAGGGTTCAAATGAAGCTCTAACTACCATAATAGAGAATTCAAAGAGGAAATATATAATGAGATCTGAGAATTGTATTTCTGAAAGTAACTTCTAATATAAGAGATTCAGCTATTTATTTCTGATTGCAGTCCTTAACTAAGTCCAAGCAACTATAACAGACTATCAACTGTTTACACACGGAGTTGTTGAAAACAAGAATATATAATACTCTTAATATATTCTTTTCTTTCTTGGCTTGTATCACTGTTTTAGGTGAGGACTGCTGATAGCTTATCTGGAAGACCAGCTACTCGGGAAACAAACACCATGCCACAGTGGGCTGGTTCATGCTGGTGAGGCATTTGGGAGGATTTTGAGTGGTATTATATTTGTCAGTAAGAAGTGCTAGACAGTGCTTTGGTTGCCAAGTTTACTTCTTTTGATTCAGGATTTTATGCATTAGATGCAAAGATGAAAAATTGAAATTAGGTCCATATGGATGTGTCATATTTTCTTCATCCTTCCAGGTACTATTTGAGATTTATGGACCCACATAATTCTAAGGAATTGGTTGATAAAACTAAAGAAAGGTATGGCTTCTATTTGTGTTCTTTATTTTTCATTCACTATCCATTTTCTGTTTGTTTCTTATATTTTGCTTTCACTATTTCTAAATGATATAATTTCCCAACTTGAAAATTGCTCTTCTCCTGCAGGTATTGGGGCCCTGTTGATGTATATATTGGGGGTGCTGAGCATGCAGTTCTCCATTTACTGTATGCTAGATTCTGGCACAAGGTCTGTATGTCAGTCATAGTTTGGGGCATTTTGATTTGTGATCTGCTTCACTCTAAGCCATTTGAATATGACCTTCATGTGGAACAACTATGTCCTTGTCAATCTTTCTCCATAATATTAATATCTACTAGACTCTATGATTACTGGTACAAATGTTGTTCGATAGGTCTCAAAATACATAATCATCTGTGTGCTGCCGGTTGCCATGAAGTTAGCATTCTTGACGCAACTTATGTTAGTCCCTTTTTAGTGTTTGACATCCACAATTGCAGTAAAGATTGGCTATGATTTTTTTTTTTTTTAAACTGAAGTTTACATTTTAAATTAATGTAGAATGACAAGCTAGCCAATCATATTACTAGTGTTTGTAAAATCCTAAAAGACCATAGTTTGATAAATTTTTAGTATTTGTCGGTCCCGTATATGGATTAAAGAAAGTTTTCGTGTAACTAATGTATTTATAAATAAAAATTTGATGACATGATTAAGTGTTGGCAAAAGGGTTGGGAAATCGACTAATATGGGATTGAAATGATATAAGGCTAGAAATACCCTTTAATGTATTGACAGTTTTGCTGCAATATTGTTTATGTAATTTGAGTTTTGTATCTCAGGTTCTCTTTGACATTGGTGTTGTATCCACCAAGGAGCCCTTCCAATGTGTCATAAACCAGGGGATTATTCTTGGGGAGGTAGTTTCAATTATTTCTGCTTGAAAATTGAGTAGAAAAGAATAACTATTGCAAGTTTCTAATTGCTTGAGTGTCAGGTTCAATATATGGCTTGTAGAGATCAAGATGGAAATCTGATATCTGCTGATTCAACGGACATGTTGAATGAACATAAGCTAGAAATAATTCCTGCGGAAAAGGTTTCTCAATTAAGTTTCCACACTTTCCACTTCTCATTGCATTAGTTAATTACCAGAGATAAGGTGTTGGAGTTAAGTTTTCTTTTCTCCTGACAAACATTTATTCTCGTCTTCCTTGAGTGTAGGTCATGAAATCTGGGGATTTTTTTGTCCTGAAAGAAAATCCTAACATACGGTTATTTTCTCGCGCTCACAAAATGAGTAAAAGTAGGGGAAATGTTGTTAATCCAGATGATGTTGTTTCTGAGTATGGCGCAGATTCTCTTCGATTATATGAAATGTTCATGGGACCATTGAGGTAGGTTTGAATCACAAACCTTATTGCTAATTTTATATTATAGTGATTGTTCCTTATCAAACTTGCTTTCTGTTTGTAGTTTTTCCCTTTTAATCTTTTCATTTATTTGGGGTGGGTTGGGGAAAGGGTGAGACTATAGAGTTGTGGATCTTGTTCTTATGTTGGACTTTAACCTCATCAATATACTCCTTGATTTCGTTTACATTCTCCCAGAGACTCGAAAACATGGAGTACTAGTGGCATTGAAGGTGTACATCGGTTCTTAGGAAGAACTTGGAGGCTCGTTGTTGGTTCACCTTTGTCTGATGGCACATTTAAGGATAGAACTGTATCAGTTGATGACGAGCCTACTATAGAACAACTTCGTTGTCTTCACAAATGCATTGCCAAGGTCAATATCTCAACTTTTAACCAGAGCTTTTGTTGTTTCCTTATTCTGGTTTAATTTAATTTGCAGATTTGAGACAATTGAGCTAAGAATTTAATTTCAGTATTCAGGTAACCGAGGAAATTGAGGGCACACGATTCAACACTGGAATTTCTGCAATGATGGAGTTCCTTAATGCGGCTTATAAGGTGTTTTTCTGTTGCCTACTTTCATTCTTTTAATCTCTTCTCGCCCCAAATATTTTCTTTCTCATTTTTTATATTTTAGGGTAGGGAAGTTAGGTAAAATTTGAATTGGCCTCTCCTTTCAAATTGTATTGAGCAATGTTATTTTGAACGAATGACTGATTCCTTTCAGTAGTTACTCTTTTGCAACTCATTTACATAACAATTCAATTCCTTTGAATATGATTCTATCAAAACAAATGTCTCTCTTGTAAACATTTGCAACTCATTTACATAACAATTCAATTCCTTTGTATATGATTCTATCAAACCAAATGTCACTTTTAACATTTAGGGCGTAGTTTTGTTTGATAGAATATATTGTTTATATGAACTCTTTTCCGCAAAGGGAAAGAAATTTTCAAACCTGAACCTATTTAGAGTGACTTTTAACAATTTTCTCTGGGTTTATTTATAGAAAACTAGCCTTTCCCGGCTGTATCCATAACATAAGGATCGTAAATTATTTAGGAGTTCATTCGTTTAGTAAATTATGAAGTACAAATTTTGGATCTTATTCACGTGTTTGTCTTACTACTATAATAAGCGAAATGAATACAAGTTTCTGAATAGCAATAGCCTTTGTGATGGTAAAGGACATGCCTTTATGAAGTGTCTTCTTTGCACACAACGTTTCAATATCCTTTTGCTTTGTTCCTCCTTTTCACATTTTCTTTTCTTATTAATAAGAGGTGAATCTCCCAGATAATTAATCTTATATATTATTCCTGGCATATATTTTAGTGGGATAAACATCCAAGATCGGTCATTGAGGCATTTGTTTTGCTGCTTTCACCATATGCGCCACACATGGCTGAGGAGATATGGTCTCGGCTAGGGCACACAAAATCATTAGCATACGAACGTTTCCCTAAGGTACGAATTTGGATCAATAATAAATCATTCTTATGCTTGCTCGGTCTGTCAAGTTGTGGTCACGAATCCGGTTTTGTTGAATGATAATATACTATCTTCTATAGCCTAAAACAGATATTTCACACACTTGTAATATTATTCCTTAGCTTACTTTCAACGGTAACCCAAAGTATACATTTCAGGCAAATGTGGATCTATCCCTGCTTGGAACGCGGTAGTTAGTTAATTAGTAATCAAACCATATCCCTGCACCCCGCAAAATATTTTCAATTTGTGAAATGGCTGGCTATTCAGGGCCTAGATGCTTTTATATATTATTTATTCTGAAGGGAAAACCTATGAAGAGATAGGACTGCAAAACATTGTATTTCAATGAGAAGATCCTTGTCCAAAGACATTTCATTGTGTTTGTGGTCCTATGACTTCCTAGTTGCAACAAGGGGACACAGTTTACTCCTTGTCCGTAGAGTTGATACTCCAGGTAAATAATTAAAGTTACACACAGATGGGAAATGTTTTTCCTACTAGCATTTGTGTGGTAAAAAAGGCAGTATTTCAGGACTTTGTAAGTTTTCTCAACTTTCCATGAGTACCTGGTTTGTGGTCGTTAAGTTTTAATGGTGTGAGTGAATGACAGATTGTACAATAAGTCATGAAATAATATCTTGTTTGGAATATGTTGTTATTTCAGGCAAATCCGACTTACCTGAAGGATTCCAATGTAGTCCTTCCAGTTCAGATTAATGGCAAGACAAGAGGTACCATCGAGGTTGAAGAAACATGTACAGAGGAGGAAGCTTTTATACTAGCATCCAGGGATGAAAAGCTATCCAAGTTTTTCCATGGTCAATCTGTCAAAAAAAGAATTTACGTTCCTGGCAAGATCTTGAATGTTGTTTTGGACCGTAAAAACATGAAGGTTGGTGTACAGTAGCTGCTTCCACTCTTGTGTCAATTTCTACTGGAAGATTAAATTTATGATGTGCCTGGTCAACTTGGTAATGGCCAATCCTCTTCAAAACTAAAGCATGTGTATAGAAGGTGTCTTTGGCTGTTTATAATTTATACTCCGCTTTAACAAGTGTATAAAGAGGGCCAACGTGGGTTTCCAGTTTGCATTGCTCATTTCATGCTATGGGTGCTAACCAATTTATTCAGAACATCTAATTGCATCTTGGCACTTATAAAACGGTTGTATTGTATTTACGGTACTATATTCTGCTGTCCGCTGTCTTGTTGATTGTAATGATAATTTTGTTTTTCAATGGGTAGAACAGGGAATAAATTGTTATTTTTCTTTCCATTTTACGTTTTTTATTTCTCATTTTTCTCTTCACCTTGTCGTTATTGTCTGAAAGAATCAAAATCCAAAAAGAAGTGACAGTTGGTAACATAGTGAATTTTTTATTTTTATTTTTTAATGATAAATGATTTAAACTTAGTGATTGAATATTTCTAATGTTGTTTCATTATATTTGTGATTAATGTTAATTTATTTATTTTATTTATTTATAATATTTAATTACTAAAAATTTGATAATATTGTTATTTATTTATTTTATTATTAAATATATTTAATTATTTTCCAGCTGTGTAATTCTAATTTTAATTAGTATGGAAAATAATTAATTATGTGAATAGAAGTTATTAAATATGAAAAAATATAGTTAATTATTTATTAAAATATTAAATTTTATAATGTTTATAAAAAATATCATCCAATTAATTAAATAAACTATTTATAATATTTAAAATATTTATTTGAGTTTAAAATTATTTAAAAGATATTAAAAAATTTATTTATTTAAATATAAAATAAATTACATTATTATTCAAAATAAAATCATAAATATATTTTAAATTATAATTGTTTTTTCAAAAATATTAATTTTAATTTTTGTGTTATTTCTGGGAAAATAATTATAAAAAGAAATATGAAAGATAGAAAGTAACTACAAATGATAAGAAAAACTTGATAATTATGATATTTTAAATAGATGTGCATAAGCAAGATTTTTTTTTGTTTTTTACTTTTGTTCTCCGTAGAAAAAACATTTCAAAAGTACTCTTAAAAAAAAAAACTAAAAACTTATCCAGTCAGTCCTTGGGGTTGCTCTAACTAACGTAAGTATGAGACGATGTTGTGTGCAGCATAGGAATAAAGACAAGGCTTAGGAAACTCAATGTTTCTTGAATGTTATATGACTTAACTTCTTTTACACGTCTTCTGTTCCAACAGGCAACTTCACGCTTGCATCAACTTCCTTCTCTGTTCCACAATTCATGGTTAATCATGGCAACATGAAGCAGAATCTTAAACTTGCATCTGTATATTTCCAACGGGACAACTACCACACTGAAAACTACAAGTATTCCCACGTAAACCCGTTTCAACGTTTCAGCTTGCAACACAGCGAATATGTTTACTATAACTATTCCAATTATGGCATACCCAAGAAGATGGTGACAAATGTTCCAGCACTTGCAATACCATACTTCTTTCTGCAGTCTCACGACGGTGCCAAGCATCTGATTCATCACATCCAAACAAATTAATGTTAAGACCTTAATTATTAGTTTGCACAGAAGGAATTTTTCACTCACACATACTCACTTGTAGGTTTATGAATGTGAAAGCAATGATGCTGAGAATACTTTGTGTCTTAGATACCAAAAGTTTTGATGACATTCCAAGATATAGCCATATGGACCACCCTACTGTGCCCAGAATATAGCCCAGAGTCTGGCAAACTATGTGACACTTGAACCATACATCAACAAATGGAGGAAAGTGTCTCATGTATCTTGCAGTCATTACCCCAATGGGTAGCAAAGTGCCCCATCCTATGAGGATTAGAATCCCGTAAACCTAGAATATTTTGTAATAATTTATATCCTCAAACATCTCAATATATATTACGTACACAATCATGAGTTTAAAATATAATCGACCTTACATTTTGGAAGTGGCGCTGAGATTCCCGAGTGAGAATATGACCTTCGTCTTTGTAGTTTTCATTGATTTTGGTGTCAAATTCAAAGAAAATTATTTTTTTAACGTGTGACAGTTCGTTGCAGGAGGAAAATTGGGCATGGATGGGATGGAAGGGGATAAATAAACCAAGAAGAATAATAAGGCAAGAGAGTGTCATGACATAATATAGATTCGTCACTCTAGGAAACAAAGGCTAAGCACATTCTCCTTCCTAAGATATTGCTGAAACATATAACATGTCAATAAATCATCCTTATGTATGGATTATATTTATAATAAAAGGTGTACTATAGATATTAATGCAAAAAATTCCCCTGCTGCGAATTCATAAGTGATGTTTGGTTACAACGAATATGTGCTTTCCTTAACAAGCTAAAAAGGGAAGAGTGTAGGTTTGGTTCAATAAAAGTAACACGATCGCATACAAAATGTACTAACAACCTTTCTTGAAAGAAACGGGTTGTGCGTAACAGTGCCATGTTGCAACTGTGTGTGTGTGTGTTTGAAAGGCAACTACTGGTTGGTCATCATGCTCTCTACTTCAAAGTTTGGTTTAGGGATTTGTAAGTCTAAAAATTTGCTTGTAGGGTTAGACATTTTCTTAAAATTACTACTAAAATATTATTCACAACACATATATTCAAAAAAACATTTGAACTAAAATTTTGAAGCAAAGTCAATTTGTTTAATAATAACCCCGAACATCTAGATTTTTGTCTGTAAAAGGCTAAAAAGATAATTACATTTTTTTGAAGGATTAATTTATACAGTTTCTTTAAAAAAAAACTAAAATAATAATTATAATAAAGGACTTCAAAATATAAATAATAATGAAATTTCCATGTGAGTATAAATCAACCGAATAACAAAACCCTGGTTTGGCTGCTGGAGAAAATGTAACGTGACTTCAAATCTTTAATCGTTTGTTCATCTTTATTTTATTTCACAATGACCAACTCTAAAATTCAATTTGCTCCATCTTCTAAAACATCAAATTGTCAAGATTGTATGGCTACTGGAGCCTAATGGTGGCACCGTAACGGTTTCTTGATTTACCTACGTACAATTATACAAGAATACTGTTTTTGATAAAGACGAAGGAGATTACCAGCTAAACTAACGTAACCTTTATCCTTTAGCGAAAAACCAGAGTAGCTGTTTCAACCATTCCCCGTTTCAACTTTTTTCATTGGACGCAGTTTGAAGTTGTTGCCAAACATGCCTAACAAATTTGGACCACCGCATTAACTGATACGTATAGGGAATTTCTGTCCAGAAAACAATGTATGCAAAATCAGACATACCAGCTTCATGAAACTACATACTCCTCTATAAATACTTGTACCATCTTTGTATATCTTGTCTATCAGAACATACACTATATAACTTCCTGACTTCTTTTGTTATCACAAGAATGAAGTCCTTGAAGACCCTCTTCCTCCTGGCCATGGTAATGGCTTTGAGCATTTCTGTGTTAGCAATATCTCCTGGAAACGAAGAACCAAAAAAAGTGAAAAATCGACTCCTTTCTGAGAGAGTTGTGATGACATGTGACAAGTACCCAAATGTATGCCACATAAAAGGCAGTGTAGGATCTGATTGCTGCATGAAAAAATGTGTGAACTTGTGGAGTGATGGATCCAACTGCGGGAAATGTGGAAGGAAATGCAGGTATGGAAAGATATGCTGCGAAGGTAAGTGCGTGAATCCAAAGAGTAACGAGAAGCATTGTGGGAAATGTGGCAACAAGTGCAATGGTGAGAGTTCATGCGTCTATGGAATGTGCAGCTATGCGTAAAACATATATGATTGCAATGGATGAGCACAAGTGTGATTATAATAAAGCACTTCATATCTTCTGCTACTGTTGTTTTAAATCTTACGTTGCATTTGTTGGTGACTTGTGCATCAATAATATTGCAATGTTTTATTTTATGAATTGTCATTACGAAAGCATGTTGTAATTCGTTGTTTATGAAATAAATTAACATATATATATAAATCTTATTTAAACCACACCAAAATATTTACATGTAATATTTTTCATAAAAATTGAAACAAACAACCATATATATATATCCTTTTGCTACATGTTCACAATATGGTTTTTCTATATTGAGTTTTCTAAATTATTAGAGAAATAAATTATCTTTCAATGACTTTTTTAGCCTAACATCCTTAATTTAGCTAATAACTTAAGGAATGGAATTGGATTGACCCACAATATTAACGTCTCAAAATTGTGGGTGTTGGTCCACGGGTTTGATGATATAAATATGTAAATTATTAAAAATATTACAATATATATATAGATTTAGTCATAGTAGTGCAATAATGAAAAAAAAAAAACAATTTAGACCTAATTTAGTGACGACACCTAGTTTTTGACTTTATTTATTTAGTTATTAAATTGAATCCCTAGCTCACGACTATGTTTTTGTTATACTCTGAAGCCGTCCAAAAAATATATTTAGATTTGTGAGAAGCATTGTTGTGAACCATTGAGCTTCCATGTCCGTTGAAGCATTACATTCTAATGCTATTCATACAAGAAATGTAATATGGATGTATACGTACCCTTCGTAACTCTAAGTAAACTTTTATTAAGTTTATAATTAGCAAGTCAACCAAGCCAAGCTCGTGCAGCCACGTTTTTGTTATCAAATGCATTTGTAAAACAAGCTCCTAAATTGTGTGCATAACCTTCTCCCCACCTATTAAATGGCCTCATTCGTTCCATTCCCTTTGTGCAATGCTTGCATTAACAAGCACGGTGATCATGTCAACTTCACTCCTATTGCTTTCATGCTTCATGCTACACCTTGCTTCTACATATGTTATTGCTCATTCAGCTGAGAACAACTACTTCTACAACAACAACAACAACTACAACAACACTCCCCTACCTGTCTCAAAGTATATCCCTAAGAAACCATTGCTCAATGTCATAGACTCTTGCTGGAGGGCCAAACCAAGATGGACCTCAAATCGCCAAGCCTTGGCTGATTGTGCAATTGGCTTTGGCAAAGATGCCACAGGAGGCAAATATGGTGCAATATACCAAGTCTCAGACCCCTCTGATGACCCTGTAAACCCAAAACTGGGCACCCTTCGTTATGGTGCAATCCAAAGTGAACCACTCTGGATCATTTTTGACAAAGACATGATCATTACACTAAAAAATGAGCTTATTATGAATAGTTACAAGACCATTGATGGAAGAGGAGCAAAAGTGGAGATTGCTGATGGACCTTGCATTACAATACAAAGTGTTAGTCATGTTATTATACATGGCATTAGCATCCATGATTGCAAACCAGCCAAACCTGGTCTTGTGAGGAGCACTCCTGACCATGTTGGCCATCGTCTAGGCTCAGATGGAGATGCCATTAGCATATTTTCTTCCACCAATATTTGGATTGATCATTGTTTTTTGGCTCGTTCCACCGATGGTCTGATCGATGTTATTCGTGCCTCAACTGCCATTACCATATCTAACAATTACTTTACTCAGCATGACAAAGTAAGTTGAACAAAGACAACTACTTCTTCTGTTTTTGTTTGATGCCTTATACCATACCCTTTCCCGTTCTGATATACTAGATTCTTGTTCATATGCATGCAATATGATTACTAAATACCATGCATTTTAGGGATAAAGTACAAAGATACAAAAATCAAGAATCGTGCTGTATATGTTGTATGAAAAGTTTCCACCAATTTAATTCTTTACAGGCTGGCTTTTATTTATTAAGGGAAGAAAGAAACACAGATTTGTTATCTACTTAATATATCTTGAGTTTTTAACGGAAATCAAAGCAGGGTATCTGTATATAAATAATCCAATAAACCCAAAGATCAATAGTAAAAAATTACTTCAATATTTTCATAATTAAAGAATATTAGCAATACACTTTCTATTTAGACTTAAACTTGTAGCAAATTATAAATTTTAGCAAGATTCACTTCTTATTTAATACTTTCATGCTTTTGTCATTTTTAACAAATTTTAATCAAACTGCTAGTAGAAAAAGGTGTGTTAAACAGTCCTCTTTCATAGTTTATTATGCATGTACAATTATTACCATATCATAAACCACCAAGTATAGTTTGTTTCAATCAGCAATTATAGCCGCATGTTTCAACATCTAAAATGCATCTTCGGATCATTTTAAATGATGCAAACCCATAGTAATCACTTTGCTACCTGTCCCCCTTCTCAGAATTTGGGCACATACATATGTTTTGAGAGAACATAATATCTGATTGAGAAAACGTGCCTGCAGGTTATGTTGCTAGGACATAATGACCAATTCACAAGAGATAAAATAATGAAAGTAACAATAGCCTTCAACCAGTTTGCTAGTGGCCTAACTGAAAGGATGCCAAGGTAAGAGTGATTTTTCTATGGATTGAATTTGCATGTTCGATGGAAATAAATACTGTATTATTCACTTGGATGAAAATGCAGGGTAAGATTTGGTTACGCCCATGTGGTCAACAACAAATATGATGAGTGGAAAATGTATGCTATTGGAGGTAGTGCTAACCCAACCATTTTAAGTGAAGGGAATTTTTATGTAGCACCAAATGACCCAAGTGCAAAACAGGTAGAAATAGTGGCACGAAATCTCTCCTCTTTTTTTTTTTTTTTTTTCTCTCAAACCAATACATAATGCTTCAAAACATTTGAGTGTTGTTCTTGCATGACAGGTTACCAAGAGGAAAGTGAAGGAAAACTGGAAGAGTTGGAAATGGAGATCTTCCAAGGACTTATTTTTAAATGATGCTTATTTTGTACCATCTGGATTTGGAAGCAGTGCTCCAAATTACTCACCTTCTCAATCTTTTAGTGCTGCTCCGGCATACATGGTACCTGCAATAACTCTCAATGCAGGTCCAATAAATTGTATTGCTGGGAGAGCATGTTAGTATGGTTTAGCATTGTGTCACCAAAAAAGAATATGACTTAGAATCTCTGTCTATGAAAAAATCTTTCTATAATCTCAATCAATGTTTACATGATACTTACTCAAAAGTTTCACTTCACCAGAAAATATCGATATCACTGAGTCATGAATACAGGGCATGTGATGGCAATTAACAGTGATCCAACATTAACTAATATTTATTGGTTTAGAAATTTACAAGAAGAGTGAAGAAACGAATGTCTCTCAATCAATGAACTGCTTTAGTTTGTAAATTTTAACGTTGACAGATTCAATATTACTAAATGAAATCAAAGGTTGATGTTAAAAGTGGTGCGTAAGGTGATCATGCGGCTGATTGTTTTCATTCAATGAACTTGAGATAAAATACAACCCAACATCACATAAAGATGCCAAGTGGGAAGCAAAAAACACCTATATAATTGTTGTATAAATAAATAAGCTTAATAGCCAAGGGGAAAAAGTAACAAAAGGAAGAGGTACTCCCTGATTATGCAGTTCATGTTATTTGGTTCTCTTCAGAAAAGTCTATTCTCGTTGCTTTGAACTCCACATGTTACTGGTGATTTAGCTCTCAATTTTTTCAAATACCAAATACCAGCTCCAATTCCAAATGCCCCTGCAGCCGAGACAGCGGTAGCAGTCCCTGCATCCAATATTCCAACACACATAACCACAAACATGAGCCTAATTTTCCACTTCAAAACCTCACTCAGAATAGTACTCCAATAATTTTGTTTTACTCACCTGCAATCACATGAACTTTTCTACTGTGCCGTGCAGCATCATAATCTGCCAAGTCAAACATAACCAATCAATTTTACTTTCCCAACAAATTTCAAAATGCAAACCTTCTTAATGAATGGTAACTTGAGTAAAAGGCTATGTAGTATAAAAGATTTTCATCGTACGATGAACTTACTGATTTTTACAGCAATTATTTTAAATGTAATTTCGACAATAATTTCTGATTTTACACCGAGAGGGGATAGAAATTAAGCTTCAAAAAATTATCATTGTTAGACATACCTTTACAATGAGTAGTGGAATTTCCTTCTTTACACAGACACATGAAACTCTGTGTCTGAGTGTCAAATCCACAAGTTCCTCCTCCTTTGGAAGGATCCTGGCACTGAAGGCAGCGTGTAGTGACAGGGATATCAAAATCAATTCTGATCCCATATTCAGGTATTTGATCGTAAGGCTGAGGAGCCCCAACATTTCTCCAATAAACACTTGTGTAACTAGTACAATACTTGAGCATCAACCTCAACGACTCAGTTGCTCTGGGAGAGTAAGAGCAGCAAGAACTACCACTCATAGCAAAAGAGCACCCTGGCATGTGCCTGCAAAGGTAGCTACCACTGTCACAGGAAGAATCACAGTGTTCGGGAAAGCGCTCACAGAAGATTGGCTTTGGCTTAACGATCACGTGATCCTCACTGCAATTGAAGAAGAGGTACTCATTCTGAGGGGAAAGCTTGAAGCGTGTGCTGGTGTCCAAACTGAAAGGCCTTGTGGGGCGATAATTCTCACCATCCTCACAGTTCCACATGAATGGATCAGTGACCATGATGTGCGGATCAGCATAGCTAACATTATGAACATGGTATCTCCCAGAAGGGGTTCTGACTTCGAGCTTTCCCGTGTCAGAACACACCAGAATGTATCTGTAGTACGGGCTTCCACACCCATCGTCAATGCCAAAAGGGTATTCGATGGGAATGTCACCACAAGAAGTTCTGCATGTGGTGGATTGAGACCTTGTGAGAGTGAACAAGGAGTGAAGAATGATCACTAGTAATATCATCGATTTTTGGTTGAAGGTGAGATGCAAACCCATCACAGACGATGCAGCACCAACTAGTTGATGGTTTCCGAGCTAAAAGTGGTCAGGTCAAGAAATTAACATCGAATGCAGAATAATATCTGCTAGTGTTGCTTTTTTCCACCTTTTGCTTTTTTTCACTTTGGGTATCTTTAATCTTAATTCCTGCCTTATTATCATTATTTGATTTTTGCTTTCTGCATTCTGCATTCTGAACCCGCGCATATTATAGAGAGAGCAGCGGATTACACAACTTTCTCATCATATGGACACAGTTTCACATTTTGGCATTATGGAACATTTTTTTCAGTTTCATCTATGTTCTCTGCGTAGCATATCAAATTGTAGTTTCATATGAATAAACGTTAGAGAGACGGTTCAATTAATTTTTTAAATAATGGCATAAATACGAGCAATACATGGTATTGGATTGGTGTGCACCAAGGTGACAAATAATATTTAAAATTAATATAATTAAATTTTTTAAACACATAATTAAAAACCATATATATTAGTAATAGATAATTTTATAAATTCTTTAAATTAAAACGAAAATACTGATATGGTGAAAGATATACTTTTTGTCTTTTAAACATAGTAAGAGTTTTTGTATAAGTTCTTGGTGGATGGAAAGACATATGTTCTATAAGATCAATCTCATCCACAATATCTGACCTGTGTCTGGCACTAGATTCATCAAACTTCTTTAAGTTCAATTGAGGCAGCAACTTTAAACTTTATTATTCCTTCGCAAGCTAGCTTCAATTGGAACAAAAGACAAAACAAATATTCAAAAGTTTCAAAACAATGTAAATAATTCTTACTTTTTACTTTATATATTTAGTTTTTTTTTCTGGATTATACATTCAGGTTTACTAATCCATAAAATCTTTAGTAAATATCTTATAAAAAATAAAATAAATTACTTTTCTTCCTTAATTAAAATTATTATTTCATTAACCTTGATTTTTTTTCTTTTAAATATTTTCATCTTATTTGTAAAATACACAACTTTTTGTTTAAATTTCACAACGCAAATGAATATCAATAACACCATGTTTCTCCTTGTGTAGGTAAAATATTCTTAGATTGAATAGTTTTAATGCATTCCTAATTTAATTTTAGAAAATTATTTTATAAGATTTTAAAATTTATGATTCATATAAATGGGAGATACTAATATTGATGGGTTAAATATGTTTTTAGTTCCTCTACTTTTATGTGAAATTAGAAATAGTTCTTCTGTCAAAGTTTATATAAAAATGATTCCTATACTTTTGAAATGATTGGAATAAGTCCCTATTTTAAAAGGCGTTAAATGTATGGTGATCTGTCTAATAAAAATAGTATGACTCATTCATTATTTGACACATGTAATATTTAAAAAAAAGCAAAACTCTTCTTTAAAAAATAGAAATTATTCAACAGAGATTATTATTAAAAAAACAAAATTAAAAAATAGAAGTTTTTCTTTTCTCCTCACGCACCAAAACTCTTCAGTTCTCGTCACAACCAATTTTCATTCTCTCTTCTTTTCTCGTCAGAGCTACTTTTCGTTTTCTCTTCTTTTCTCGTCACACACCAAATGTCTTTTCTTTCTTCCCCTTTCTCTATAAAGGTTGTATGAAGTCAAAGTGACTTTGAAGTTCGAGGGTTCCATCGATTCGTTGTGGTTCGACTGACAGTACAACGGTGGTGCATAACGACATTGTGCGACGGTGGTATACCATAGCTAGGGTTTTCATTTCCGAAAATTAAGGTAGAGAAGTTTAAATGACTTATAAATGGCGAGAGAAGTTTAAATTTCTTTTTAAATGACTTTTAAATGTTATATAATGCGAATTTAAATGACTTTTAAAAGTTTGACACTTTTTAATTTTATTTAATTTTATTTTTTTAAATAATTACACGTGTCAAATAATGAATGAGTCATACAATTTCTGTTAGACAGGTCAACATATACTTAACGTCGTTTAAAATAGAGACTTATTTCAATCATGTCAAAAGTATAAAGATCATTTGTATGTGAACTATGACAGAGAGACTATTTTCAATTTCAGATGAAAGTATAAGGACTAAAAATATACTTAACCCAATATTGATCTATGAAAGATTTAATGAGAATGATCCTCAGTATCTTTATTCTCTACTATCTTTTTGTCAATTTATCTCTTTACCTTTCTTTCTTCTCTCACGCTTTCTAATGATGATTAACAGTGAGAAAATCTTATGACAAAGACAAAACCCTTGCTTCTTTTATATAACCAATTTTCATCAAGTTGCTTACCATCAATTTTAAAAGATAATTCTTCATACTATCCACTCAATTGGATAACTCTTCTTTATACTATCCACTAAGTGGGATAACTTCTCATACCATCCAATAAGTTAGTTACCATTATTTTTAAAACTTCTCATAATAACTAATATGTCCTTTTATTTTATGAAATCATATTTATGTTCATAATTATAGTTCACGTAAGTCATATAATTGAATTCATTTATTTATTAATTCTAACATTCTTTCACTCATGTTATGCCATAATTTCATGATTTAATTACATGTCATTTAATGGATATGATATATTCTATGTACTACTATATTATTCTTTCTTCTTAATATGAACTTTACAATGAGAAATCTATAATGAGTTCAAACATAATGTCATTTTCAATAGCAATAACATAATTTGTTTTCTTCGTCATAATTTGCATGCATATGCATAAAAAAGAAAATACAAATTTCAAAAACTTATACACTAAAAAACTCAGAGTGTCACATAAACATTAATAATAATGTTAACATTCAACAATCAACATTCAACATTCGCTAATAGACATAATGTCCATATTCTCTATATGACCAACAAACAATTTAGGCGGTAACCCTTTTGTTAAAAGAGTTAACAACCATAAGATCAGGACTAATATGTTTTGTTGACACTCTACGTTTATGAACTTCTTATAACAAAAAAGTATTTCAATTTATATGTTTAACACCTTTAGAATATTTGTCATTCTTAGAAAAGAAGACTATTGCAAAATTATCACAATAAATTTTTCAGTGGCTTGACAATATTATCAAATACTCCAAGTCCTGAAATGAAATTTCACAACCAATTAACCTAAACTGTGATCTTAAAACATACCACAAATTCAATTTCCACAGTGGATGCAACAATGATAGACTACTTCACACTTTTTCATGAAATTGCTTCTCCGACTAAAAGATACACATAACCAAATATAGACTTTCTTGTATCCATACAGTCGACAAAGTCTGAACCTGTATATCCAATCAACTCAAGATGATCAAATTTCCTATAAATAAATATGTGATTCTTTGTTCCTTATAAGTAAGTATCATAAGACTTTCTTTGCAGCTTTCCAATGATCAAATTAAGGATTACTCTAATATTTACCCAACAACATATGCATAAGGGATATTTGTCATCTGTTTCTGTTCCAAATCATTCTTTAGACATTACATTAGACTAAATTTGTTTCTTTTTTTTATTAAAATGGGAGGTTTTGAACATTTATCCATTTTGAATCTTTCTAAAACTTTATTAATATATGTTTTCTGACACAAATTTAACTGCCTTTGTGATTTATCACAAAATATTTCTATTTTTATTATATAGTATGTCTCACCCATATCTTTTATTTTAAAGTTGTTAGGATGAAACTTCTTAGCCTTACTTAATAGACCAAGATCATTGGTTGCAAGCAAGATATTATCAAAATACAAAATCAGAAATATAAACTTGTTCTCACTTACCTTCAGATATATATACTGATCAACAATATTTTCCTTAAATCCAAAGGAGAATAATATAATTGAACTTAAGATACCATTGTCGAAAAACTTGTTTAAGTCCATATATTGATTTCTTAAGTTTTACACACCATGTCTTTCTTTCCAATGACGGATCTTAACCATTGATTTTTGGAGGGCCAAATAATATATTATTAATAAATAATAAATAAATATAAAATTATGAAAGAAGATGAAAGGGTGAGAGGATAAAATTGTAAATGTATACATAAATATATAAAATGATCATTAAGTTTGAGATAACAAAATCATAAATTATATGAGAGTTAGGGGTGATGAGAGGATAAAATTATAAATATACAACTAAATATCTTAAATGATCATTAACTTTGGGGGACCAAAATCATAAATTACATGAGAGTTACAAAACTTTGGGGGGGCATGACCCCCCTCAGCTCCCAAGAAACTGTTCCTTTCCTTTTTTAGTGAACCCCACTGATTGGTCCATATAAGCATCTTCCTCTAAATTTCCATTTAGAAAGACTGTCTTAACATCAATTTTATGCAACTCAAGATCATAATGAGCTGCTAATTTCATGATAATTCTAAAAGAATTTTTCTTAGAAACAAACTTAATGTTTATTTATAGTTAATGTCATATTTTCGAGTAAAACTTTTAGTAACAACCTTGTAACATTCAATATTGTCATGCTTAGTCTTAAGGACCCGTTTACACCCCACTCTCTTGCATCCTTCTAGCAGTACCAAAAGGTCTCATACATCATTTTGAACGATTGATTTAAACTCATATTTTATAGCATTTAACTACTTATTAGAATTATCACCATTAATGACTTCTGAAAATGAAATTGAGTAATTACCAATACTTAAAATTTTCTGACTCTTATAGTTAAACCACATAATTATTCGAAATAACTGACTTTATTTTTCTGAGATTTTCTTAATATTATTTGTTGTTGTTGTTCTACTATCCACTTATTGTTAACCTCATGATCAATAATTTGTTATTGTTCTTCATTATTTTGTGGTTTTATAACATGGGGAACAACAAATCTTAAATAAGAAGTACTGGTTATAAGAACTTGTACTCTAACTTCATTAATATCCACATTTCGTGAAACTTAACTCTCATTGGTTTCACCATTCTCAATGAATGTAACATTTCTACTTATACTATGGGTAGGACAGTAAAACATATACCATTTTTATTTTTCTA